AAATAATTCAATTTTAATACATAAAACAATTATTAAATCAATAATTCCACTACTTGATATAACTATTTAACTTTTGAAACGTTCATGATGTAAAAGAAATTATTTGAACTTTTGAGATATTTGCAATTTGCCTAAAATGATAGATATAAAAAAATTAATTAAATGTTATAATTTTCATTTTCACGTCATACATTATTTAAGCTTTTATATTTTTCCTAAAAAAAAAATGCACATCTCAAAAGATTTTATAAAAAAAGTTTAAATATCTATACGACACTGACATTATAATTAAATTTAATATTATTCTCCTCGTGTTGTTTCTCATGTTAAAAATTCTTTCAACCATCTATTCGCTATGATAGAGACTATAATTTCACTTCGGCTCAACCCTACTGTTTGATATATTACGCAACCAAATGAATCAATTATAATTATGCACAATTATATAGTGAACAATCGTTTATTAAGCAATCCATTCGAATTTATACATTTTTAATCTTTATTATCTACTCACATTGTTGATTAGTTATAAATATTTAATGTACATATATGTATATACTTCACAACATGATGTTTTTATAATCTAAACAATATATCATTTGAATAAATATATATATATATATATATTTATATCGATAAAAATTTTGTAAAATTCAAAGACTCCGTTTGATAAATTACTATGTATCTGAGCTTGACATTATAATTTAGAAAAGGAACTCTTACTCAAAAGAAAATATTATACGCCTATGGAGAATACATTTCATTTTTATTGGAATTATTATATTGTTGTTTAGTCGTTGAAAAGCTAATTATATTGCTATCATTTAATTATTTGTGTAAATCTAATGTTTTCAAATTACTTTTATATATAAATAGAATTATTATTTACAAATTGTAATAAAATATATATATATATATATATATATATATATGTATTATAATCAAAATTATGTAAAATATATTAATGTAAGAGTTAATAACCTTTCGTAATTATACATCCTTCTTAATCTATATAAAATCTTTAATCTCTAAAGTTAAGATTCTGAATGATTACTAATTATATTAAAATCTACTTTAATTTTTATCGTTGCAAATGTACGAACTTATTTTCTTCTTTGCATAAGACTATTAATATTGAATCTGTTTTCTCCTTAGTAGATTCAAACATAATTCATTTATACTATAATAGACGTTCTCAACTGCTAAATTAATTTTGAAATATTTAGAGCTAGAAAGTATGAAAATTATATTCCTTGAAAATGGTAAAACTTTCATTACACTTTGAAAATTTTTATTTTTACCGATTAAATATAAGATTATCAACGTAGTACTTTTATTTAACTATTAATTATTATCATATGAAATAAATGAATATATAAGATATTTGAATTGATAATTATTATTGAAGTTTAGAAAATTCACATTAATAGAACATTAAAATATACTTTGTTTCTTTAAAATTTATATTATATAATTTTTACAGTAAATTAATTATAGCTTCAAAAGAAAATAATCGTTTGCGATAAACAAGATCATATAAGCTTTTCTCAAATCCTTAATATATATAAATACAAAATCAACTAAAATTATTTACATATATAATGACGAAATTGTTTTTCTTCTTTTAAGATTCTCTACGCAATTTACACAATATACATATATATTCGTGATGTGCTCCTTTGTGGTTAAAATTTTCTTTATTCACATGAACTTTATTGGAAGCCAAAATAGAAACAGAAGGTATTCGAATATTTTCAATTCGAATTTGTTCTGTTTTCTTTATCACCACCGTACGAATATCCAGGATACCTCTTGCTTACAATATCTCTCGCTCTTTCTTCCGCTTTCTTCATTTTATCCGATAACTTAATTTGATGTCTATCCTTCTTATTTATTTACTATTTCCATTTTCTTTCACTTTCTATTCCTAAATTATATTTTCTTCCTCTTTATCACATGTTATTTCCTTCAATTCCTCTTAATTTCTTTATAACTCTATCTCTCGCTATCTTTATTTCTCGAAATCCCTCTTGCACCCGCCTTTCGGTTTATCATAAAACTGACTCTGCTTTGTATATATTTATGTATATGCGAATAAATCCAGGTGATTTAGATTTCCAAGAAAATCATATTCACAAAATTTTTTCTTATTGGTTTCACGGAGTAAGCAAGTCTCTATTTTTTTTTATAATAAATAAAATTCTATATTCTAATCTTTTACTATATTCAAGAACTTTCTTTTTTTTTAAGCTTCATGTAAAAATCTGAAAAATGTTGTTGTGTCAATAAATATAAAAAACAAACTATGTCAATAGAAATCTATATAAATTTGTAAAATGAAATAGTAAAAAATTATATATGCAAACTAAATAATTTGTAAAAGACTTTTCTCTTATAACGTCTCTGCAGACCTTTAAATTTATGCAAAACTTATATTGTATTCGAAATTTAAATCTATTAGTCCTTTCTATCTTTTAGAATAGCAACTCTTTATTTTTAAATTATATTATATTTTAATATTTTAATATATTAAAACTGCTAAACTTTCATTTGACTTTCAGAAAACTTTATGTCAAAACGAATTTCAATACTGATTTCCTTATAATGATTTTAATAGCATTTAAGATATATTTAGTTTTGACATTAATCTCATAGAGTTACTATTAATTAAATTTATTATATGGACTAATTTTATCTTGTAGGATATAACAAATAAACTTTTCGTATAAGCTAACTATCAGTTTTTATCAATTATATAAAATACATGTTATTACTTGTATACGACAAATCCTACGGCCAAAAAAAAAAAATGTTTAACTATTATAACGCAGTATGCCGTCGATTGTCCACATATATACTTCTCCATTTTCAATTAGATGTTCAATTGTTTCTTGAAATATTTAAAAATTATTTAACTCGTATAACTATTTTCACCACACAAAATTCATCAATGTGAATAAAAACCTCATTGAAATAGATAGGACATCTAATGGTGATTATATATAGTTTCGATGAAAAACTTTTCTAAAATAAGCATGACGATCAAGAGTGGATTATCGTGTTACAAGTTTTAACCTTTTTCCAAGTTATTTTCTATCCTTGATTCAAGAGATTTTGAAACAAATTCATTATTTAACATCATATAAACAAAAAAGAGAAAAAAAAAAAGTTCTCTCATTTTTTGAAAAATTTTTATGTTCTTTCTTGTTAATCGTGGAATCAAGGTTTCTTCATTTTTCACTTGTCTTTTTGTCTTCGGATCACACTCTTAAATCCATGATTCATCTTCATTTATCACTCTTAATAAGAAATTCGACCCTATTCATTTTTCATCTCGTCCTGGCAACAAACAACACTTTTATTTTTATTCATAAGTACGAACATTACAAAGAAATTTCACCACACACTTGAACTATGCAAAAATACATTTTAAATTATTTATGTAATACTCTCGAATAAGCGACAGATAATAAATTGCATTTTATTGATAATTTTAAAAATCTCACAATGTATAATGGCATTGCATATTAGATAAAGAGCTTAGATAATCCGCTTTAAGAAGATTTTTCTATACGTCATTATTAATTTATTACCCATTCGCACGCTGATGTGCTCATTAGCCTATAAATAAAAAACTTTATTACATGACGTACTGTGTTATTTAGTAAACTTAAATATTTGACTCCATTTCTTCCATCCAAATATTGCACTAACACAGTAAAATATATATTAATGCATGAATAACATAATATATAATGATATTTCATGATGATTCTACATACAATTCTATATTATTAACCCATGGACAACATTATTATTACGTTGACGTAAAAACATTGGCTGGATAAAATGAAGATATATTAAAATACTACAAATTGCTCAGACAATGAATTCCAATATATTGACCTATTTATTACGGTTTTACCTTAACCTTATTCAGAATTATTTTTATTTGTATAATATGAGATATAAAAAATTTTCTTTGACAATTAGTAATAATAGTAGCGAAGACTATATTATAAAATATATAAAATTATAGCAATTTTGTTTTTCGTAAATTTATCATAATGTTTATAATTACAGTAAATTAGGTAATAGCAAAATTTTAATGTTTAATCAGAATAATATAGAGTAGTCGGTAATCATTTTTATTCTATATTCTAAATTCTAATCTAGATGATGATTATCTCTGTTTGCAATTCTAATACGACAGAAAATTGTTTAATCATCGAAGATAATTAGTAATTTTTATAGATCCTATATTATAGAATTATTATTTCTATTTGTTGAAAATAAATCGATGAAATTCATCTAAAAATATATTATCAACTACATTCATAATATTAATTAGATAAGTGACAAAATTTACCGTTACTTACGTTAAAATACTCACCTTTTCAGCTTAGTAAAATGATATTAAGAATGATTAATTTGCAATTCAAATTAAAAAAAAAAAAAAAAAAAAAAAAACTATTGAGACATTCAGCAGTCTTATACACGATTAATATTATATAAAACATCGAAAATAATCTAGTTATTCGCACAAATTTTCAGATAAAATTCAAAGAAATAATTTCTATAATTATTATAATTAATATATTATAACATGATTTTCAAGTGTCTATCTTCGTTAAATAAACTTTAATCTAATTTGTTTATAAATTAATTAAGAAATAACGTAAATTTGTTTAATATTTTATATTGTAAAAATACGAATTTTATATAGAAGAAGATATTATTAATTATAAGATAGAATTACATGATTAAATTACAATTATAAGTATACCATTTATTAGCGACAAGGAGAGATGCTTATTAAACTTAAAACTAATATAGCAACAGTTTCTTGACAAAATTTGCAATTCAACAAAATACTTAACTCCTAGATTGAAAAGAAAAAGGAGAGACTGAAAAAAATAACTACTCTAAGATAGAGAAACAAATTAAGCGGAAATAACACACGAGAGATTGAAAAGTGCCCCTTTTTCTTTCTGTTGCAGAGTTCGCGTCGAGTACTACGTGAACGAGAACACATTCAAGGAACGACTTCAGCTCTACTTCATCAAGAACCAACGCTCGAGTAAGTTAATTACCTTGAAGCGTTCGCCCGTCTTCCACCTTCCAAGTTCGCGCAAGTGCAACTTCTATCCTCGTAAAAATTCCTTGGTCTGAGAAAAAAGGGCCACCGCTGCAACGCGCATAAACTTTTTAAATTCATGACAAATCTCATTTTACTCGAGGCTGGGAACTTGGTAAAATAATTAAAACTTGTAAATCAGTAACCATATTCCCGGGGAAAGATATCGTGCGCTTTCTTTTATTGGTTAAACGTAACTCGAACTAATATACAATAATGATAAAATAATTAAAAGCTTCAATATCAATAGCAATAATATTAATTTATTATAGGAAAAATTTGGAAACAATTTAAGCTGCGTTTTTGTATTATCATACAACGTCTTTTTTTATGCTTAAGATATACTCAAATGAAATTACAGTTAAATTTACCATTATACAATGAATATGTGCAATAATCATTATAAAAATTTTATAACATAAAAAAACATAATGCTACTTTATAATAAACTTAATACTAAGTTTTGTTACTGGTTGAATTAATTTTCATTATAACGTATCTTTATTACTTATCATGTAGCCTCGATATCTCCCAAAATTTCCATCACACGCTTTTACAATGTCTTCAGTTTATATCTAATAATATTGAAATTTCTCGAACGATATATAACAAGCATATTTCAGAGATATAAAAGTAAATAAAATAGATTTTAAGATTTATTCAAGTTAATTAACATCAAACTGTAATTATGCTTATTAATCGAAAATGACTGTATCTCACATTAACATTTAATCAACCGGAATATAAACAACATTAATTATTTATTAGAAGAAACGCAGGCTATTATACTATCTTTCTTTCAAATGTTTTTTCAAAATCTTTATCTACTTTATTTTTATTTAGATATAGCAAGCTTTGATACATTTTTCAGTATCCAATGAATAAATGCATCTTTCGTCGAAATAAATATACGATCATGTTTACAAGCTTTAAATATATTACAATTATAATAAAGTATAATATTGTATTGAAATTTTAAATAAAAATTCATCGAAGAAGAGTATATTAATATATGCAACTTTTAAATTAATAAATACCAATGCACAGTTTTAAATAATTAAATTCATAAATACTATTATTTTATATTTTAATTGTATTATTTAGTTGTTTTACATTTTAATGAATAAAATACTACTAATAATAACCGTTACTTGACGTAAAGTAAACCTTTTTAAAGTCAATATGTTCCTTTCATAAAGAGCAATTGTTTTTCTATAATTTCATAAATTATACAATGTTCTATAATAAGACGGTAATTGGTTAACAATTTAGAATATAGATTATATTGTAAGAATGTAATGTAGAATATGCAGTGTATAATATATAATATATTATTAATAATTCAAAATATATAATATATAACAAGTCTTTGCACAACTTACTATTAAGTGTTTCCACATCCAATAAACGCATCCGTATATATACATAATTATAGAAAAGCTAAAAAGACTGAAAAGTGAAAAAATTAATTTTCTAATGGTATTTCTGATGGTTTAATAAGCTTATATACATATGTGTATATACATGTGTGTATATATATATATATATATATATATATAAACATTTCATTAATAAACAATATACATATATTTATATATATATATATATATATATATATATATTTGTGTGCGCGCGTGTGTGTGTACTTATATAATCTGAGCGATACAATACAGAATGAAAAAGGTATGAAGCGGCTATGTTCGGTTATCAAGTTTTTCGGATCCCTAAACCCATTGTGTCCGCTTTTACCGCATCGTGGAAAAACTGGAGTAAGAGGTGACGATGGCGGAACGCCGTCGGTAAGGCACTAAAATCGCGATCGATCAAACTGAGGGGAATGGGAGGTTCGTTGATCTTGGTCTCGGCTATTTTATCTGAAGCTTCGATAGACTTTCACGCGTATAGTATGGCGAGGTAAGATGAGCCCTCGAGTTTGAAAGCGTTTTTCTCTGATAAAATATTTTTATTTTTTAAAAGAAAAATAGCATACGGTAGATATTCCAACGTAAGAACACTATTACATGTATTTTTAAAATATTTATCCTAAATCGCGCTCAATGTAATATAGAAACTAAGTACTTTCAACAATATAAAAGAAAAATAAGCAATTGGTTTTCCATAGAAATCTTTTTAAAATATATAAAATCTATTATTTAAGAGACATTCTATAAAGCAGAAGTACAACCAAGTCATAATTTTATTTATAAGTAAACAAAAATTCATTCTTAGTGAATAACAATTTATTCTTATGGATTTTATATAAATTTTATATACCTATATATGCAGTTTATTATAAGTTTATAAATAATTGGCTAAATTATTATTAGTTTATAGCCTTTATTATGGATTATCGGATTTTACACGAAATCTTTGAAAAATTTATAAAATTTATTTCCTCTTGTACGATAAAAATAGAAACCCGCCTCATTGCCGTTCATAGTAGCTAATTATTACTGTAAACGTAAGTGTTTAATTGTTAGTAACGTCTAAATCTATAGTAAATTGAACCCTTATGAAATATAGTAAATAAAAGAATGAACACAAGTATATATTTGTAATATATTCGAATTACCATTTCTTTTTAATTACATACTATCTATGCTAATTTACATAGTTTGAATGAAATACATTAGATACCAAAAATTTTATATTAGAATGAATGAGAAATTAATATTAATATGACTTTATTATAAAATACATGATAATAAATGTGTATGGAATAAAAAAAAAAAAGAAATATCGTTTTCTTGATGTATGGAAAACGTAATTTATTAAAATTTATAAAATACTAATAATGTATTATAATCTGAGATGATAATTTCACATTATCCAATCATTTTCTGAATCATATTTCCTATGCCATTATTATATATGAAACTTAGATTATTTCTTTTGAGTTAAAAAGGATTTAATAAAATATGCTGAGGATTTATAAGCGATAGAGGGAACAAAAGACAAACGATAAATCATAATTATGAAGGGTGATCCTTTGCATGATCGTATGAATTTGCGAATCTTCTGTGAAATTGTGAAATGAAGTGCAAATGGATTGAATTGGATTAAAATTAGATTATTTTTGCTTACGCTGCTTAAAATAGCAACTTAATATTAAATTTGTTATTATTTTTTTCTCATATCATGAACCAATATTTCGTCTTAAATGATTCATTCAAATATCCAATGCAAAAAATGCTAGATTATATTTCAGTTTCTTTAATCTATTCAGAAAGATTTTTAAAAAATTATACTTATAATTTTAATATCTTGAAAGTTTATGTTTTCGGAAAATTAATGAAAAATTTTAATTCAATCGCGCAAGAAAAACTAGTATACTAAGAAATAAATTTACTGTATGAATGATTCGACGAATCGTGACGATATCAATGATAATTAATGATTTTAAAATATATTAACAATTTGGCACATTTCAAATGGACGTTGTAAAAAAGCCGAATAAAGAACAATATTTTTATGCAATAAAAGTATTCGTTTAATTAAAACGTTGAATAGTTTCCTTTAAATGAATTTAATTTAATTATTATTAAAATTCTTTTAATGTACTAAAGTACTTAAAGTACCATTACTTTGTGAATATAAATTCATTCGTACGTTGCATGAAAATAGAATAACGATTTTCAGTACGAATGGCTGGCAGTATAGATACAAATAATATTTTTTATTCTATCTGGTAAAATTCGTTAGGAATTTTTATCCGAACATGTAATTTTTATAGATAGAGTTATTATTTTCTTCTGCGCAATCAATGAAAAAATTTTGAAACTGCAAATTAAAAAGTCACTTTAATACTTTTTAGAGAAACTGAAATGTAAAATCTTTATAAAAATACTTTTTCACGACTTGATCATGAAATAAAGCATATACAAAAAATCAAATTAAAGCAATAAATATAATTATTAAACAGCAGTTATACCCAGTATATATATATATATATATATATATAGGAACATTGCAATTTATAAATTAGCGATCAATTGTTTCCTATAAAATTACCAAAAAATTAATGTAAATAGAATACAAATGGGAGAACTGAATTTGAACTGAAATGCTGTTTTAATGATTGTGCTTAAATTTCATATTTATTTTTATGTACTAGTTGAATTAATTGTATATAGTGATTATTACTCAAATGAAAAAGAAATTGTAATGTAACTAATCGTAATACGGATGTTTGAAATATTTGCAACATGAAATATGTGTTTGATCCTTTACCTTAGTACTCGTATATATTGAAATATAAATTAATTCATGTCCTTTAAAATGTACGACAGTATTTTAATGTAGTGATTTTAAGAATTTTGACATTATTATAGAATTTTAATATAATTATAGAAATAACAAAAGAAGAAAAAAAGAAGTAAATGATACTTGTGTAAGTGGATTAGCTCATTTGTTGAATATTAGAAATATATAATGAAAATGTAATGACTGATACAGTAGAGCTTAGAAAATAATAAAATTGTTTAATCACAAGTATAGTATATAAGAACATGTAACTCCGTATATATTGTTAAGGGTAATTAAACAGCTGTCAATAACGTGCAGATTTAAAAGAAAAAGCCATTGAAAACATAAAATGTGTACGCGGATACGACGTCGTTGATACATACGAAGAACAAAATTCAATATAACGAGGGAGTAGAAGAAACTTTATAATATCATGTGGTGATGAAGGAGTGGGAGGGGGGGGGGTGTTAGTGTTAGTATTAGTGTTAGAAAGTACGGAGGATAGGAAAGGATAAATAGCCGTAGACGGTCGACGGCGAGTCTCCTGTAAAGCAATACGGCGCGTAAATCCATCGAGACGAAGCAATGGCAACAGATCAAATGGCTCGAACAATGGGAGCCGATAGTCACACGCAGTCACAATCCGAAACTAAGCTAAGCGGGTGCTCGAGAACAGCACTAACCGGCCTTAGAACCTCATGGCAAAGCGGAGCAAAGTGAAATTCCTGTCATGGGAGGCGCTTAAGCGCGAGCTTGCGAAAGGTCGATCTCGTGGGGGTGACTGCGAGCCCTTTGTGTGACGCCGTTGCATCGAAACCACATCGTCGCTTCATGCCATCACCGCGCTCCGGTAAACATTTGCTGGCTCCGCGTTTCCGCCTCTGTTTCGTCCTCCTGTGACCTGTGTGGTTGCGCATGCGCGCCACTTGGCAAACCAAATCCACGATTATTTAGGGCTGAAAGTGCTCGACTCGTTTCCTAACATTGGATTATCGCAATTTGTCGTCGAAATACCGGGCGTACGCGTGAGTTTGGATTAATGGATAGGCGATCGTCGTCGTCGTCGTTGGCTGCACTGCAAGCTTCATCGATCATTGGTCGTTATCCGATCATTCGCTATGTAATCGTTATCGCGACCAATGACGTAATGTGATTCGACGGCACTCATGTGGTATTGCACGTTTCGTAAATGGAGATTTATTCTTTGTTACTTTTTGGCCTATTAATTTCTTTCGAACGCAGAATTTTGTAGCTCGCTTGAGTGAATGCATTATTAAAGCGGAAAAAAACGCAAATAGAGTGAAATAAAGCAAATAGAATTGGAGCGAGTGTGGCGTAAGGGGGACGGGCGGCGAGAGGGGCAGATTGGTGGCGGAGAGGGTGGGGGGGGGGGGGGGGGGGAG